CGCCCCGCGGCAGGCCCCGCCCCGCGTTTTCGGCCGCAGAGCCCGGCTGTGGAGCGCGTGGGGCAAGGGAGCCTTTTCCTGGGTACCTGCCCCCGGTGAAGGCAAACGCTGATGAAATGGTCATGTTGCCAACTTTTATTGCGGGCCGCCAATGAGCCAGGAACGTGCCGGGCATTTTGCTTGCCTTGCTTCCTCTCGTTTAGTTCTCACAGGAAGTCACAATCGTACCCATTGTACTGAAGGGAAAACTGAGGAGCAGAGAGGTTAAGGGACCGGTTCGGGGTCGCGCTGGCAGAGCTGAAACCTCTCCCCACCAAATGGTCTCCTCACTGAGCTTTTTTTTTTTTTGTCTTGTTGTTTGATTATGTTTTTATTGTGTGTGTGTTTTTAAGAGAAAGGAGGGAGAGGGAGAGAGAAACATCAATGTGAGAGAAAACATGGATAGGTTGCCTCCTCTACCAGCCGCGACCTGGGGATCTAATCAGCAACCTGGGCATGTGCTCTGACCTGGAATCCAACCAGCACCCTCTCCGTGCACAAGGTGACACCCAGCTGAGCCACACCGGACAGGACCCTCTCATCTCTCATTCTCTCTCTCTCTCTCTCTCTCTCTCTCTCTCTCTCTCTCTCTCCCTCCTATATGGACATTTATTGTTTGCTTAACAAGAAGTCTGGAGCTGGGAGTCCCATCCCAAGCAGGAAGGAAGGAATGCAGGAAGGGGGAAGGCTGTCTTCCTATAACAGTTTGGGAAGAAATTCTTTCCCAGAAGCACCCACCAGACTCTTCCATGTGTTTCATTGGCCAGACTAGGATGTTTTCCACTCCCCCCCCCCGCTTCCATATCCTGCTCTTGGACATTCTATTTATCGGGTTAGGACTGCCTCTAAGGACTTGGGGTTCCCATATTCCCTGACTGGTTTCAGCCAATGGGGATCCCAGCAGGAGGCTGGAGGGAGAGAAGACAATGATGGGAGGAGGGGGACAATTGCCCTGACTCCTCCATGGGCTTGACCTCAAGGTGGCTATGGACTTTGACCAAAGGTTATTGTTCCTCTTAAGTCCCCACTCTCCAACTCTCTGTCTTAAACCCCATCACTGTCTTCTTTTCAAAGTTGAGTGAAATCTGTTATAGGTGAATTATTTCAAAAATAATACTTTATATTAAGTAAATTGCACCAGGGTTATCAAATCTCTTGCATCAGAGGAGAAACTGATAGTCTGGCTGGCAGGGAAGGAATCTCAGGCTAAGTGTGCTGGGTGGTAGAGTTTACCCTTTTCTCTTCGTACCAACTAGGGAGTTATTCCTGCAATACATAGGAGAACAGTGTGATCCGGTGCAGAAATCTTATATCCCTAGTCATCTTGTCAGCTGCCACCCTTCATGCTTAATATTAAAGTGCTGTTGTTTTCTAAAGCTTTTAAAAATTATTTATGCTTCCTCAGCTCTGTAGCGCAGCATCATTCAACATCAGGCATAATGCCCCTAACAAATGGCACTTGGAAAAAATAGCAGGCATGTTTTGGTGACTCAGAGCTGATCAGGAATCTACTGAAATCTCATGTCTTCTATTTGTCAAGTTTTCTAATATGGCACCTCAAAGCTTTGGCTAAGGAGCGCTAAAGTATTTGGGAAATGAGATGGTGAAGGGTACAATGGCCTGTCTTCACATAGGAGGGTGGAGTGGAGAGCCATGGGAAACCTTGAATAGGATCAAACCTTCATATGCAATTATCTGTTCCATCTCTGTCTCTGACAAACTGAGTGACCTTGGGCTTCAGTTTCCTTATGTGTCAAATGGAGGAAATAACACATTTTTTTAGCTTCTCCAATCTCATAGTGTTGATGTAATGATCAAATGAGATAATGGCTGAGAAAGTACTTTGGAAAGACTATCAAAGTGAGATGATTTAAAATTGACATAGTATATCAAGCACTTACTAAATGCCTTGGGAGAGACACAAAGATAATATATGACCCAGTCCCAGACCTGAAGAAATTCAGAATGTAGTTGAGAAGGTAAGACATGCACATGGAAAGCAAATAATATAAAGCAGCAAAGGTGTCAAAAGAGCTGTTTAGATTATACATTCTAGAGAAGCTCAAATAAAGTACATATTTTTTCTTCTGCAGGAATGAATGGGAAAGACTATGAAATACATTTTTGTTTTACCTGGGCCTGAAAGGAGAGAAAATTTGGATCATTTACAATGGAGGAAACATCCCAGCAAGAGGAGGTAGAGAGAAGGAGTTCAAGCTGAAGTGCTGGACTGCATAGGCCAGTTCCACATAAGACTAGAAAGTTGAGTGGATAGACTGTCCTGGCAGTTAAAACTGAAGCAAAATACTGAAAAAGGATCTTATAATCAGACAACATCTGATGTCCATGAGCAAGAAAGTTGCAGGAGGCCCTAGAATTCATTCTCTTTCTTCCCATTCCTACTGCCCCCCTTCTTGTTCTGTTTTTTAAAAAACAAAACAAAAAACACACCCACACAGCTTTATTGAGATAGTTTGGCATACAAGTGTACAGTTTGTTATGTTTTGACATAACTATACATCTGTGAAACCATCACCACAATCCAGCCAGTGAACATATGCACCATCCCCTAAGTCCCTAAGTGTTTACTTTGCCTCATTGTAATTCCTCTCTCTGGCACTTCCAGCCACTAATCTGCTTTCTCTTACTATAGATTTGTTTGTATTTTTTGGAATTTTATGTAAATGGAATAAAAAATGTACTCTTGCCCTAGCCGGTTTGGCTTAGTGGATACAGCATCATTATGGATTGAAGAGTCCCAGGTTTGATTCTAGTCAAGGGCACATACCACGGTTTCAGGCTTGATCCTGGCCATGGTCGGGGCACATGTGGGAGGCAGCCAATCGATGTGTTTCTTTCATATTGATGTTTCTCTCTGTCTCTCCCCCTCTGTTCCACTCTCTCTAAAAATCAGTGGAAAAATATCCTTGGGTGAGGATTAAAAAAAACAAACCAAAAAAAAGTACTCTCTTTTGGCCTCTTTCATAGCATAATTAATTTTGAGAACCATGTTTGTTATTACTAGTATCAATAATTCATTTTTTTAGTTCATGTCTTTTTATTGCTGAGAAGTAGTACGAAGTCTTCTTTTAAAACCTTAATTTGTTTGGGTTTGTATTTAAGGAGGTGCTTTCTCCAAGACACCAGGTACCTATCTCAGTGCTTGGCGTACTGAGACACTTATTTGTTGAAAGAATGAATTTCTTGACAACTCCCACAGAGCTAATACCTTATATAGTTTTATTCGCTCTGGGGAATGCTTGGCCTTTATAGGCCCATCTCTTCATCAGTGTTGTTCCTCTCACCTTCTGCTATGTCATATGCAAAATTACAATCACTCCTTTTTTTTTCTGTTGCTAATCCTCCTGGGAGGATATTTTTTTCCATTGATTTTTAGAGAAGCTGGAGAGAGGCAGGAGGGAGGGAGGGGGGAGAGAGAGATGTGAGAGAGACATATCGATTGGTTGCCTTTCACACACACCCCGACCTGGGTCGAGGGTCGAACCTGCAACCCAGATACATGCCTTTGACTGGGAATTGACCCCCTCAACCCTCTGGTGTGCAGGCTGGTGCTCTAACCACTGAGAGCAATGCTGGCCAGGGCCAATCACCTGATTCTTAAATGTTCTTTAATGATAAAGCCAAGAACATGCTCAAGTATTCCTCAGCTAGACTCTGGTGGGGGATGGGGGTGTAGAAAGATAAATTAGGTATAACAGCTGCCCACAATCTAGCTCTATCTTCTTGAAACTATTCATGTGTATGTTTTTAACTTGAAAAATGTAAATGGGAACCTGAGAAAAAGTCTACTTAACCTTTCAGACTTGGACATTTCTCTGCTGCACTGTTTAGAATTACAGAGAAGAAGGGAGACCTGCTGTGACATTGCAGGGACTCCGTGTCCCACATTCTGGCCAGGAAACAAAATTATGCTCCAAAGATAAAGATTTCAGGTGAGTATTTAGTATTTGATAAGTATTCTACTTATCAAACTAATGGAAACTTTTAAGTAGAATATGTTTCACACTGAAAATGTGGGCTTAAATAACCAGTTTCAAAGGTAGGATGACGTTAAAATGGCCATTGGACTATGGAACCACACTTAAAAATAAGGCCATACCACTTTGAAACTATCTGAAGACAAGTAGCAGGAATATATTATGGTATTTTGGACCCAGAAACTAGTTTCAGGAATTAAAAATTTTACAGGCAGTCAAGAGATTTTAGAATTATTTTCAATGATGTTCACTAGAAAATGAAGGTATTCAGAGCCACAACTATTGATGATTAAGCTTGAAAATTTCATGCCCATTGTAAGTACATGATTTAAGGAGAAAACAAGTGGGTAAGAAATATGTAATCAACCTATGACATCAAATGAAAATTTTAGAACAAATGTTCATAATGTGCTATTTTTGCAATTGCCTAACCCTTCTAAGGGATTTCAAACCCAGCCCCTTGTGGCTTCAAGGGTTGCCTGTCTTGTTCATGGAAACTTGTTGTACAATCGGGAATAAGCCTGATTTTACTTTAAAACATTATTGTGAACTAGAATATAAACAAGGCTCAATAGGGAATTTTAGATCTCAAAGAAAAAGCTGAGAAATTTGGCTCCAAAAATTGAACAGATTGAAACAATTTTTACCAAAGGAATATGAGACAGTAAAGGAAATTGATTCAGAAGAAGACAACTAGTATCATTTTGAAAAGCTAGCTATGAAGCACAAGGTGTGCGGTTTCTTTTTTAAAAAATATATTTCTTTATTGATTTCAGAGAAGAAGGAAGAGGGAGAGAGAGATAGAAACATCAATGATGAGAGAGAATCATTGATCGGCTGCCTTCTGCATGCCCCCCACTGGGGATCGAGCCCACAGCCCAGGTATGTGCCCTTGGCTGGAATCGAACCTGGGACCCTTCAGTCCGAAGGCCAACACTCTATCCACTGAGCCAAAAATGGCTAGGGCAGCGGTTCTCAACCTGTGGGTCGTGACCCCTTTGGCGGTCGAACGACCCTTTCACAGGGGTCGCCTAAGACCATCCTGCATATCAGATATTTACATTACGGTTCGTAACAGTAGCAAAATTACAGTTATGAAGTAGCAACGAAAATAATTTTATGGTTGGGTCACAACATGAGGAACTGTATTTAAAGGGCCAGAAGGTTGAGAACCACTGGGCTAGGGCAAGGTATGCAGTTTCTGTTATAATGATTGAGTGTGCTACTGTCATGCTAAAACATGTATCAGGCTGATAAAAGTATTTCCCTGGCTTTTAAACTGTTGGTGACACTGTCTTATACTGAGTTATAGGTGAAAGAGATTTTCTCCTGTAAAAATTGTATCAGAACCAGTGAGAGAAACAGACCAACCAAAGGGCATTTGGAGTTTCATGCTTGGGAAAAACATATATTGTAAAATTTGAAACCTCTCCTATGATTAAGGTGCTAGGATAAAAAAGCAAAACCTTAAAGAAGTTAGCAATTTAGTATACTTCCTAGATTCCATTTACCAAAGAGAAATTTTGCTAAACTAACGTACAGTATGCAACCATGGTAGCTAAGTAGATGAAGTATTAAATCTGTGTTTCCCATGACTGGATTGCCTTATTTAAAAACAAACAAACAAAAAAACCACAAAACCACACACACCCAGCCCAGCTGGCAAGGCTCAGTGATTGAGTGTCGACCCATGAACCAGGAGGTCTTGGTTTGATTCTTGGTCAGGGCATATGCCTGGGTTTCGGCTCAATCCCCACTAGGGGGCATGCAGGAGGCTTTCTCTCCTATCTATGTTTCTATCTCTCTCTTCTCCCTCTCCCTACCTCTCTCTCTAAAAATTAATAAACACATATTTTAAAAAACACACACAGGCACAGGTAATTCTGAAATGGATGCTTTTCTCAGTCAGTTAATTTATTGGTACCTTCAAATGATTAATAATGAGAGGCTCTATGGATGGGGAGGCCATTAAGTTCATCCAAATCAAAGGTTACTGTCTCAGATGTCTGCGGGTATCAGGCAGGTAAGCAATTTGTGAAGCATACAGAAAAAGGAATGGTAGGGAGCGTGACAAACTAGGAGAGAATAAAGGAGCAGCCATCACCTGGTTCCAACCGATTGTTGCCGTGTGGGAATGGAAGTCCAGGGGCGACATATTTGATTATTAGAAAAAACACACTTAGAAATCCAGCTCTTCATATACAATATCCAGACTTTTATGTGAAATTTCCTGAGTGATCAATGCTGGCAACCAGTTATTTTATTTGTAATAATTATTACAGATGCAATACACATGTATTGTATAAAAATAGAAAATGTAGACTAACAGCAATAAAACATTTTCACCAGAGATTGCCTTAGGGCATATCCTTTCAGATATTTTTTAAATAAATATATAGACATATTATAAACAAAATATGATTATTCTGTATATATAGTTTTGGAACTAGCATTTTGTTCATGATTTTGAACTTTTCATTTTAGTAAATTTGCACCTTATCTAATCCCATCCATACTAAAAATTTCCCAATTGACCCCAGTTATCTTTTATAGCAACTTGTTTAAACCAATAGGGAATCCAGGACCGTGCATTATGTTGTTATCATATACCTTCAGTATCTCTAAGGTACTTACCTAGTAGTTTTGACTTTCATACAGCCCGGCCAGTGTGGCTCAGTGGTTGAGCGTCAACACATGAACCAGGAGGTCGCAGTTCGATTCCCAGTCAGGGCATATGGATGGACTGTGGGCTTGTTCCCCTGTGTGGGGCATGCAGGAGGCAGCCAATCGATGATTCTCTCATCATTATGTTTCTATCTCGCCCTCTCCCTTCCTCTCTCTGAAATCAGTAAAAACATATTTTTTAAAAATCGTACCGACTTGCTGAAGAGAGCTGGCCAGGTGCCCTGCAGAATGCCTCACCTTTTAGATTTGTCTAGTTGCTCCCTCCTAGTGTCCTTTAGTTTGTTTCTCCATCCCCAGTATTTCCTGTAAACGGCAAGTTACATCTAATAATTAATTCTTTTTGGGGGGTGGGGAATAGCTAGAATATATACCAGGTTGGGTTATCTATTTGCCTCTCACCAGAATTGGTCTACTGGTTAGTGTTACTAAGACCCATTCCAGAAAACAAGTGATAACAGTCTGATCCCTCCAACATACATTTTTGGCCTCAAGACTGTAAACTGATAGTGTTGCTTGGCACTATATGGATGTCCAGTTGTCCACCAACCATTTTACCTATGGTTTTAACATCAATTAATAATCTTTGCCAAATCAATACTTTTATTAAGTTCACAAAATGCTGTTTTTCAAATTCTATCACTCTTTTTATATTTATTAGCTGGTGTTTTTCTTCCAACTAGGGTACAAATTGGTTTCATAAAAAATAACTGCCAGTGGGCCAAACTCAATTAATTTGGGGGCAGGATCTAGTTATGGGCCTCCACTTTCTGATCTATAGTATAAGCCAGATAAAATCTCGCCCCTGTCATCTGTGCCCTGGAGCATTAGGTCTTCTGTTTCTCACACTCAATCACTTTGCACTTGTCGAAATATTGCTTGTAATCTTCTCAAGGCATTTTATGTACTTTTCTCCCTGGCTAGACTGTGACCTCCTCAAAGGCAGGGAGTCTCTTGCAATATATTTTCTTTGCTTCTCCTAATATGCTTTTTTTTTTTAATGGTTTTTAGAAGGAGAGAGAGAGAGAGAGAGAGAGAGAGAGAGAGAGAGAGAGAGAGATTGATTTGTTGTTCCACTTATTTATGCATTCATTGGTTGATTCTTGTATGTTCCCAGATTGGGGATTGGACCCAGCTTGGCATATCGGGACAACGCTCTAACTGAGCTACCTAGCCAGGTCCTTTCCTACTGTGCTTTACAGTTACTTTGGCCACCGCTAATTCTAATTAACAACAAAAAAGCACCAGTAAGAGCCAATGTTTTCATTATTGTTTCTTGTGTTCCTGGCTTTTCCACTAAAACGTTCCCTAAATATCTATCATAATGAAGTACTTATCACATTTACAGCTTACCTGTGCTGTGGAAATGAATACCTGTGATGGGCTGAGTGGGAAGAGGGAAAATAAGCTCTTTGTTGGTCTTCAGAAGTTAGAAGTCGTTTTCTAGATGTGACATTGGGTAAGTCATCGCTCAGAGTTTCTGGGATGTCTTTAAAATCACACCCAGATTGGCTCTAGGTCTCCAGGACACATGCATAAGCAGTACCTTTTAGTATCCCTCCTAACCCATTTCTCCCTGCTTGGAGAGCACCTTTGCTTCCTTCACAGTCAGCAGTATCCTATCTAAACTTAGGTGCAATAATACCCACAGTGGACAAAATTTTGCCTCTGATGACTCTCCTACCGTCAGTTAGACGGGTCTAATCTACACATTCCAGGAAGTTTGCTTATATTTCCAAGGTCAAACCTTAGTCTTTTACAAGTAGAGCCAAGTGTAGATATTCCAAGGGCCCTATCCAAGCAATTGTCACAGCAGAGGCCCAGTCTTAGGTCTTCTTGCTGCAGGGGAGGAGAGGATGGAGGGCTGAGATTGGCGGGACCCTTGTCCTTACAGTGGAACCTCACCATTAGGGTTCTGAATGACCCCAGGCCAGATCTGGGGTATGGGTCTTTCTAAAAAACAAAATGAAATAAAAATGTTTCCCCCAATCCTTTTATTTCAGGTCTAATAGTCTCCTTCCCCCTTTTATTCCCTCTGTACAGGTATAATATCAAGGACCAACCAATTGGCTTTATGTGCCTGGAATTAGCTCTTTCTCTAGAAATAAGTCAGACAGAGAAAGACAAATACCATATTTCACTTATATGTGGAATCTTAAGAACAAAATAAATGAACAAACAAAATAGAAACAAATTGTCCTCCTCCTTGGCTGAGGACAGTCGCCAGCCTGACTATAAATTTCCTAGTCTTGAGAGCTCCAGATGGTGAAAGGGGAAACATGGCTAAGGAGTAAGGCAGAGCGAGAACCACCACCAGCCTTATTCTTGATAAATCACACTCAGGCCTGTAACAAACAGGGCTAGCGAAAGCTAACACCCAACGCCTTCTGTGAAAGCCTGCATGAACCCTGTCCTGTGACTCTAAAGAGACACAAAACGGATCCATAATCCATTTTCTCCCTTCCCTCATTTTAGGCTTAGTGGCTGTTGATGAAAATCAGGTGGTGAGTTGCCAGTTTACCTGCTGATGTACCCTTGGCAGCACCCTATGAATCTCACTATCAACTGTAAATATTAGATAGAACTATTAAGGATGAGCAGCCTCCCAGTAAGTAGAAAGAAGGGAAACTCTTGCGATGCAGGGAACACTTTGGAGCCTGCCGGTAACCAGGGTGGCTGGGGCTGCTGTTCCCTGGGCCTGTCCTCATCAAATGTGAGCAGTTTTCCCTCAGGAAGGGGAGAGTAGCCACAGTGGCAAGAAGAGTCTTGGTGAGCATAGACCTAGATATGAGTCAGCCAGTCAGCAGCAGATGGAGGTCAAAATCAGAGTAAAGCACAAGGATCAGAATGACAGAGGAGACAAGACTCCCAAGAGTAAAGGCAGAACTGAAGAGATGGATATAAAGCTACACATACTTCTCCCATTTCCCAGGCCTGGAGCACCCTGCTGAGAAAATTTCCCAGTCACAGTCTTTGTATTCACTTATTTAATAATAATAGTTCAGAATCTCAGCTGTAGAACAAGTAATCTAGTATCAGAACATTTATCCCTCCAAAAAAGTGCGTTTCCCACCTCAGGCAGTCAGTGGTATGAATCTGAACTCTCTCACTCACATTCGCACCGAGGTCTCTTCTCTGCATTTCCCAGGTTGGCTGGCACAGTCATCTTAGAATAATCCCTAAATGTGAAATGTCTGTTCTCAGGAGTCATCATTTCCACTGTGAAATTCTAAGTGATAGAGAATGAAGACTAAGGATCCAAGATTAATTATCAGATTAATTTGCCTAAAACCAATTTACCTAGAGATAATTAGTCTAAAATAAATATTTATCAAATCTGCAGCATTTTCAAAAGAATCTAGCAGATTCACCCTTTCACTTTTTAATGATGTTGTCTGTATAAACTTGAATTGTTAGTCAATTGAATAAGCCACATGCCTGTTCATTTGCTTTGGATATATTGACATTTTAACAGCATGGGTGTAGAAGTTAGACCAAAACATAAAATCATATTGAGCTTCTTTATTTTTTTTCAGGGCATCTAATTTGTAAAGGAATATTGGATTAAGAAACACACAAAAAAATGATACACAAAATGTCTGTACCAATTATATTTATTGCTAGAAACTTTAAGCTTTTTTTAAAAAGTGTTTGAGAAGCAAATAACATAGAGATACCCATCAAGGTAGGAGGAAGCAATCTTATTTACAAAGTGCTGCAAATTTGATAAATTTATGTTGCTGGTAATTCAGAAGTACTCTTGGATGAATAGATATAAATCCTTGAAATACCCAAAGCATGACAAAAAAGAATAGAATACCTAAATGGCTAAAAAAATAAAAATAAAAAAATACCCAAAAGGGATTTTAGCCTTTGGCAGTGGTAGTAACTTTAAACACACAGGTTTTCAGTGAAACGGTTTTAAGAGATCTAGCTTTAGGTAAACGAATTTCAGCAAAACTGAACTAGAACCAAGTCAAAGTGTTCTGCCCCTGTGGCGCCCCAGAACCTCAGAGTTTGGGAGTTACAGTAGATGTAATCCTGGATCCCTCTGAAAGGTGGCAGCTCTAGAGTAGTGAGCTGCTGCTAGGGACCAGGTGCAAGAGTGACCTGAGAAGAAGGGAGTGAGTAGGTGTGTGTGAGAATATGCCCATGGGTGCCTATACTGGGCAGGAGGGCTCAATACACTTACACCTGGGGAGTGTGAATAGCTCGAAGCTTCATAAATGTCTCCCCCAGAAATTCCATACCCCAAGACCTGCTCATTACCACCTCCACCAGCTGAGGAGAAGTACAGGCACCCAGTTAGTCTTCCCAGGCTCACGTGAGTCCCTGAGAATCAGGCAATACAGGCAGCAGGCCCACCTGGAGCTGGTCTCTATTCCCAGCCTTGAGGTGAGCAGCTCTCTTAGTCCTTAGAGAGCAGGTGGCCAAGAAATAACTCATTTATAATGTCCACCTCTTCATCTAGATACAGAAATAAGATACTGTGGTGTGGTAAGAACCTGTTTGACCTCCTATCTGACCCCGTGTGTGGGGTACAATATAGTTAGGAGCTTCCATGATGTCTTCCCTTCCTATAATCCAGGACCACAGCATTTGCTGACTTACGCATAGACTTATACTGGAAATACAGACTAGAATGAGACCTTTACAGTGTGTGGGAGCCTGCCTGTGTGTGCTTAAGTATATGCGACAGCACAGGTTGCACATGTGGGAAGGAAGCCAGTCACCCCCACCATGGTAACTGGAAGGTTCCTCCTCCACAATCCATTTGGAATGTCATGATCTTTGGGTCTCTGGCCCTTGGGGCCCTCCCCAAAGGACTCTTCTGCCAGGCCTGCAGGTACATCCTTGCCTCAGCTGGCCTCAGGGGCCCACTGGCCAGAGGAATTTGTCAATGGTGGTGATGGCAGCAGCAGTGACCGCAGCTCAGATATAGTTGGCAGGGGGCTGTCGAGCGTTGAGCCGCTGCATGTGACAGCTGTGGCAGAGCAGGTGCCCGTCCAGAGGGAAACAGCAGCAGCCTTCTTCATCGCTCAGCTGCATCCGGCAGTCCTAGGGGAAAGGGACACCTAGTTCACCTCAGCCCAGGCACCTTGGACATTTAGGAGTCTGCCCTACTCAACACCAGACTTCTAATGACTAGAAGGAAAAAGGGTGGGTTGGAAGGGATGGACTCCCAGAAGAGAAACCTGAGAAAATACCTCAGCTGGACACCAGGTGTCGCTGCTATAGCAAAAATAATGAGACAGGCTCCCATTTCCAGTGGATACCAGGAGACCCTATTCAGAAAGGACTAAACAAGGAGGGCCAGAGAGAGTGGCTGGAGGATGAGATAGATTGGAGTTAGGTCAAATCACTTTCCTAGAGTTCAGGGTCTATACTTTCCTATAGTCAAGTCTAGGGCTTGACTCTTGCCTGGGCCCCATTCCAATTTTTTAGGAGTCCTGGCCCCCAACACTCACCTCACAGTGATAGCACTC